TCATTGTTATAACTATTTTATTTCTTATCAATTAGCTACGGACCCCCCCCCCCGTGAATTAAAAGGGTCCAATCTTGAGGCAAAATATTTAACAGATAAAGACACTGTATACAGTTAGTCTCAGAATTTCCCATAAGGATGTGTACTAGTGCCAGAGAAAACATGGGCCCTAAAACTTTATTCTAACCCAGTGAGATCCATTACTGCTACACCACAGTGTGTTTTCTTACTTGTTCACTCACCACCAGGCAAGACTCTCAGCTGAATCTCAGGACTTACACTTCTCATCCTCCTCTTCTGTCTCCTTTTATTTTTAGCATAGGCGTTTTGAGTCTGGGAATTCATGTCCTAGAGGAATTAAAGCCAACTCTTGGTAGCATATACATAACTTATGGTGGGGATGACTTGCCCATCCCCGCCAATCCAATCAGCCACCAAGTCCCTTTAATTTCACCTTTGTAATGTCTTTAGTATCTGTGTCCTTCCTTTCATGCCTAGGGCCACCACTCTGCTCAATCTGAAGCAGCTCTTGCTTGTGCTGTGTCATAGCCGACCTACTTTCTTGTGCAGGTTTGGTTAGTCTTCCTAAAGCATGACTCTACCAGAACTTCTGCTGGCAGAATAATGACTCATCTCTTCAGCTTCTGAAGCGTTCCTTGGTTTGGTCCCAAATGTCATTTCAGACTGTTTTTCACAACCTTCTTTCCTTCCACCCCCTTTCCTCCCACACTCTCCCTATGTTCTCCAGTCAGGAAGTTCTCTTGAATGAGAATAGTCACTCTTACAGTTTTAATTATTCTTCAAGGTCCATTTCAAGTTATAATAATGATAGCTGCCAATCATCGATCATTTATTATATGCTAGTTACAAGTTTACATGGATGAGCTCATTTAATTTTCATAATGACCCTGTGAAATGCTTACTATCACCACCTGCATTCTGAAGGATAAAGTAACTTGGGCAAGCCCAAGTGTTCACAAAGACCTGGATTCGTAGTCCAGAACTCAAGTTTTTAGCCACTATTTTATTGCTGAAATGACGGATTTGATGATGCCTTCCCACCTACCCCATGTTACAGTTCAATACAGATGAATCATCATTTATTTGGCGATCGCTATGCAACCACCACAGACCCTGTAGGAGTGGGTAATGCAAAGTTGATTAAGATGGTTCCAGCCTTCAGTGGTTTAGAATCTAGCAATTAACATAGTTTTCCTCTATGTTCCCAAATTGATTATAATTCACATGACGGGACACCTTGAACATTACTATTCATGCACATTACTTCTTTTGCCTAGAGTCCCTCCGTTTACCTTCTTTCTCTCTATAAACCGAGAAATATGTTTATTAAATTCAGGTGAATCTTACTCTAACTGTCCCATCTTCCCCATGAAACTTTCCAGGGGGATGTTCCTTTATGTTCCCACCCTAAAATAATACTATCAACTCTTTGGAGACCTGGGCCTTTTTCATCTTCAGCACCTAATAATAATAATAGCTAATTTTTATTATGGTTTTCCTTATTCGAGGCATTTGACACGAACACATTAATTTAACCCTTATAGCAATCCAACAAAGTAAAAACTATTTTTATGTCCATTATGTAAAGAAAAAACTGAGGTACTATGAGTTAAGTAACTTGCCCATGGTTGCTTAATTATTACTGGCAGAGCCAGGATATACAGGATATAGTCCGGGATGCTGGACCCCAGAGTCTGCGATTTTGACCTCTTGTCTAGTGCCTCTTCTGCTTTAGTCATTGCATTTCTCAGTCACTCTGTAAACATTTGTTAAGTAAATAACTTTTTTGTATCTCTGGCACTGGATTAGAGTTCTTAGTATCCTGTTATAAACTGCCTTTGTAATATAAACATAAAAATAAACTTATCCATGGTTATAACTTTTAAGAAGGAATCAGTTTTGAGATTTCTTTTGAATTGCTCAAGATACTCAGTGTAATTGCTAGGTCTCTGACCAGATGCTGGAAAAATGCTTGACTAGGCCCTAAAATACTAGGCTAGCCCTTATCAGTATCTAATCTGCAAGGCCAGGTGACCATTCTGGGCGCCCTGTTCCTCAAGGGAGAAACTTGTCTTGCCCTCTGGAAATTTCCCCCTAAGGGAAGCATGACTGTTGGGGTTTGCAATGGAGAATGGAAGAAGCACTTGCCCTGGGTCAAATTCCTGGCTCCATGCTCCCAGGTGCTTCAGGGCTTCTGTCTGTTGAGGGTGGGAATTAGGAAGGGACAGAGACACATCTGCAGGATGTCACTCACTCCCAGCTCAACCCACTTGCCGGAAACTGATCTCACTCTAGAGAAAGTAGATGCAAAGGTTTTTTAATTTCTTTAGTGCTTTCAGGAAACTTTCCACACTTTCTGTCAGACTTGCCTTTTAGCACTTCATCTGGCATTTAATGCACAAGTCCATTCAATATAATCATATTTTCCAGAAGGAAGGATGGTGATAGTTTTTTTTCCCTTCTCTAATTAGATCAAATCTGTGATAATCTGTTTCAATTACAGTGTTTCCTTTTCAAAAGACCATAGACTAATGCGATCAGAGACTAAGGACCAGGAGTCATCTATCATTAATTTATCAATAAATATTTTTATCACCTCTGATGTGCCAGCCACTTTGCTAGGTTTTGGAGAAATTTGAGGGAATAAGACAGGAAAAAACTTACACTTTTTTTAGAATGGTGAAGAAATTTGAAAGTAAAATGATAGCCACTTTTGACATCTGAAGAGAGGAAAAAGGACCTAATTTTATATATACGGTCCCCCAGAACAAAACTGGGGCAAATAGGTTGAAATTACAGGAAGACATATTTTCTCTATTGGAAGGAAAAATTGTCCAAAGATGAACTGTTCTCCTCAATGTAGTGAGTTCCCCATTACCAGGGATGTTATTTAAGGAAAAATTATGTTTTAAAAAAAGATATTGGATATCTGATTGAGCTGAGTAAAATTTAATATACCTTCAAGTCTTGACATTATATAATTCTATAAAATTTGATAGCAATGGAAAAAGTTAAGAAAGCCAAAATATTTTAATACTGTAAAACAGAACTACAATCCCATATTAATAAAAAAGACCTTATAATTATAACTTGACAATTTTATTGGATCTCACCTTAGCAGAGACCTCTCTGGGACCCGCTGTGGTAATGACCTAACTATATTCAAGTGATGAGAAATAATAACATGTCTTCATGAAGGGGGACCAAATTGCTCCCATATTTCAATGTAATAGTCACCAAGAAGCTGTTCGTCCACTGACTCTGGGGGAAACTAAGGCACACAAAAGTGGTACCATTATCTTTGGAAGAACATCTAAAGCAGTGTCTATATTTTTAGGTAGTTGAGTTGTTCGTCATTTCTGTCCCCTCAGTACTAAGGTCTAAGTCCAGCTCTCCTCAAAGAGATCAGAGATTCTACTTTGCACATAGGGAAGTCGATTCTTCCAGTGTTCTAGGGTAGGAAATATTCTCATATTGTGGCTGATGCAGATTAAATCTCCCCTTCATCCATTGGCTGGTGACCTGCCGCATTATTGTCTGATCTTTCATTGTTTGCTGGTGTTAGTTGCCTGCAAGTTTTTTGTGAGCTTCTTGCTTCCCAAGCTCCTATTGTATTTGGTTACACTTCATTGCACAGGCCTTGCCAAGGAAATTTAGTTTCCAGAAAAACAAAATGTGTGTGTGTGTGTGTGTGTGTGTGTGTGTTCCCTCTGCCTTTAAGGAGAAGACTGTAAAGTTGCCACACTTCCCGGGACAAAACTATGAGATCAGGGAGATAACAGGGCCAGGGGCACAAACGGGAGAGTTGGTTGAGAGCAGAGGCCCCAGCATCAGAGTGCCCACAGGTTTGCTTCCTGATTCTATAACATTTACTGTGTGACCTTTCATAAGTTCCTTAACCTCTTTGTGCACAGTTACTTAATCTGGAAAAGGCGAATAAAATTGCCTGAGGTTTGGTGTTAGGCTAAAGTAACACACGCCTATGGCAAGAGTTAAGCACCCAATAAATATTAGCTGTTATTATTACTATTACTGAGAGGTTTCCCTCAGTGGTATTGTCAGCCCTGTGGTTTCTGAGGAGCAGGAATCAGCTGTGACCTTTTATGTAAAGAAAACTGAAACCAAAAGGCCCCATGGGGTTTGACCCTGCGATGGGAGTTGTGGGTATGTGTAAAGGCCTCCTGTCCAGGTAACGGTGGTGACTTCACTGCGCTCTGAGGCCTACTTAGGTGAGCCAGCCCCACAACCTTGTGTTTTCTCGGCCTGCTTTGCGTCTACGGGGAGGGTAAGTCAGTGCTCAGCCGAGGACGCATCGCAGCTTCATACCGCCCCCTAGCGGACTGGGAAGGTCATTCGCAGGAGCCAGGTCCTCACAGCCAAGATGTGTGTTCGCGGCATCGCGGCGGAGCGTGCGTATCTCCGGGTGAATCGGAGTCATTGAGTCTCTCAGCCTCTAGGCTCCTCACCAGAAAAATGAGGACAATCACGACTCCCGCATGGAACCGTGGTGAGAATCCAATGAGATAGCGGCACATGTGAAATCTTACAATTTTAGATATTTCTGTTATTATAATAGTTGCACTAGTTATTATCATTCTGATCGACGACTCTTCCAGGGACCCGCTAGAGTTAGAAGATTGTTCGCATTAGGGCTCTCCCTCAGCATCAGCGTCGCCAGCAGACCCCACTACTATTCTTAGTCCCGCACCCTGACACACAGAGGCATTTCGGGGGCTCAGTAAAGCATTATTTGGCTCCAGCCTAGAGGACAAACTTGCAGCCTTGGGTCAGGAGGGGAGTGTTGTGATCTGGTGGAACTAGAAGCCCTGCCCCTAGTGGTAATGGGGCAAAGGACCCTAACGTCGCCAAGGACCTCACTGATGGTTTCCTCCGAACTCTTCCTTACTTCCTCTCCCTCCCGCCGCCCATCCCTCACCCCCTCGCCCCACCCCACCCCTTTCCCCTCCTTTGCTTCAGGGCAGTCTCATCGCTTGTGGGCGAGGCTGTTTTCTTCCCAACCCCCTGGTAATGCCTCCTCTGGGACCTGGGCCTGAGGTTGTAATAAATGCCCAGCAGAGCTGCGGTCCAGCACCCTGGGTCCTCCCCACCTCCGCTAGCCTGCCGCGCTCCCCGCCCTGGCACCGGCGTCATGCTCTGGAAGGCCCTGCTCCTCTCCGCCTGCTTTGCCCTGGTGGTGACTTACCCCGCACTGCTTCAGGGTGAGTGCACATTGGGAGGTCTTCTGGAGAAGAGGGCTAAAGTCCATTCACCGCGTGTGCGTGCGTGTGTGCGTGCGTGCGTGCGTGTGTGTGTGTGAGTGAGCGAGCTATGAGGCCTTGGGCAAGTTGAGTGGCTTGACTAAGATTAAGGTTGTGTTTTGAATCCGCCTCATACAGGTAGTCAGGCTGGGTCAAATGGAATTAGGGTTGGTGATGAGAGGGCTCTTGAGGTTTCCCTGTGGTCCCCTTAACTATCAGGTGCTACAGAGGCTTTCTCTATTTGATTCAGGTTAAAAAGTCCTTGGGTGTACTCTAACTTTACTGGAGAGTAAGATTCAAAGTGCTTTAGCCGCTGGCTGGGTTACATGCAGTGGGAATCAGTGGGTCTGGAGCAGAAACTTGTGAGTCATATTGAGAGAAGAAGGAATCCCTGTCTCCTGAACCAGAAGAAGGCTGCTTTCCTCCCAAGCCTCTTTCTCTTCTAGTCCTTCCTGAACTCAGATCCGTTTCTCAAGAGGAGGGGTATTCATTCACTTGCACTAAAATGGTGACTTTACCCTCCACTTCCTCCCAGCTCTCCCTCTGGTAGCTCTCAATTTATCCGCTGCTGGGTTTGGGTTCTTTACTGCATATGAATGAATGACAAAGCAAATGACTAAATTAGAGAGCTAATGATTTTGACCTCATTGGCAGGGTGCCCACAACCTGCTGGACTAGGCAGCCACAAGGACTGTAGGTCTTTCACTGCAGCCCAAGCAGACCCAGGTGGTAGGCTCATCAGGCCTTCATGGTTATGATGCTTTTATGGTTCACAAGACCCAAAATGTCTGGATTGTGCATTCTCTAGGACAGACTGGAAATTGAAGAGCTAGATGTAGCCCATTAAATGAAAATGGTAGGAGTCCCCATTTTAGAGTCCATTTCATTCTTGCTTATGCACCTTGGAAATAGCTGTTTTCCTTGCTCCTTTCCCCCACTTATATTTTTAGTTTTCAGGGAACTGAAAGAATTATATAGGGGAGTTTTTGAAATTTTATTCCACTGCAGTCTGACTGATTCACATTTAGAGGCACAATATCAAACGCTCCTTCCTAACCCGACCCCTCAAAGGAGGGTGGAGTAGGGGCAGCGAGCGTATTCCTAGGTGGCAGTTAGTCTTCTGGACATTCTAGCACTTGGCAGAAGAGAAACTTGTGGGGAGACCAGTTTGATTCAATATCCCCTTTTCTGTTCCATGTTTTCCCTGGAAAAAGATCTAGCTGGGAATGGAAGGCTGTGGAGATGGTGGAAACATTCTCACAAGAAAGTACTTGAACTGTTTTTTTTTTTCTTTTTGGTTCTTCTAGAATTCATCACTGACTTAGAGTCAACCACTGTCCTGGAGTCAACCACTGACCCAGAGTCGACCACTGGCCTAGATTTGACTACTGGCCTACAGTGGACCACTGGCCTAGAGTTGACCACTGGCCTAGAGTTGACTACTGGCCTAGAGTTGACCACTGGCCTAGAGTTGACTACTGACCCAGAGTCGACCATTGGCCCAGAGTTGACCACTGACCCAGAGTCGACCACTGGCCTAGATTTGACCACTGGCCTAGAGTTGACCACTGGCCTAGAGTCAACCACTGACCCAGAGTCGACCACTGGCTCAGAGTCGACCACTGGCCTAGAGCTGACCACTGGCTCAGAGTCGACCACTGATCCAGAGTCGACCACTGGCCTACAGTTGACCACTGACCCAGAATTGACCACTGGCTTAGAGTCGACTGCTGACCCAGAGTCGACCACTGGCCTACAGTGGGCCACTGGCTTAGAGTCAACCACTGACCCAGAGTCGACCACTGGCCTAGAGTCGACCACTGACCCAGAGTCAACCACTGGCCTAGAGTCGACCACTGACCCAGAGTCGACCACTGACCCAGAGTCGACCACTGGCCTAGAGTCGACCACTGACCTGTCAGACTTGACCACGCACCATGACTTCACTGAAGATGCACAAACAACAACTGACGTGTATTTGGAGAACACACAGACTTTTGGTAAGTGAGGGTTCTGTCCTCAGAGGAGGCCTGGGCAGCAACTGGTAGGCTCCCTCTTTTACATTTCTGAGGGAAAGGCTGCTTTTGTCCAGTGCACTTGATTCCCAGCATATGTCTGTGACAATTCCCGTCGTCCATTTTGTTTTCCTAGAATTGCCTACTAATGTGGGATTAAACACCCTGAGCTCTAAGGAAGAAGCCACTGAGGTCACAGGTGAGGATTCCTCTCTTCAGAAATGCAGAAGTTCCTCCCTGCCTCCCTTTCCTTATTTATAGTTCTTTACATAGGAAAGTCCTATGGTAATTTACACATTTGGGGATACTTTTGCTGCTTTGTTCTCTGAGGTGGAGTAAACTTAGCCAAAAGTTCATTGAAACTTGAGGAAAGTTAAAGCATTTCCCAGAACGCCAGGAACTGCAACTGGTTGAACACCAGCATAGCTCCAGCCCCAAGGTCTGACCTGATCTGACCTCTGGGACCTGCTTTCTGGGCTTCCCTAAAGAGGACAAGCTCCTTCATGTCTCTGTAGGGTCAGAAAAGGGGTTAACAATTTCCTTTTCTTTTCCAGTTGATTACAATTCATTTCAAATAGAGAACTTTTGGAGTAAAGGTTACACTAAGTGTAAATCTTATCTGAATATAGACTGAACAGACGATAGAGCAATTTAAAAGCTTCATGAATTAAGCAGTGTCCCTATCTCTGCCCATCCCTCTCTCAAGCCACCATCATTTTTCAATTTTCTGTCTGCCACTCAGCCAAGAAGTCGTAAGATTTCAATGCCTTCCACCCCCGCAAACAAACCCCAGTAGTCTGCAGGAATGCCTGAGATTTTCACTAAGAAAGACCCTTGGGCCTTACTTACAAAAGCAAATTTCTAAACACTCTGATTCTTATGTCTATAAATAATAGCTAACATTGATTGAGACCTACTGTATTCCAGCACTGCTTAAAGCGTATAGGGGATTGCAGATTGTAGTTGGAGAAATCTAGAAATTGTATTTTAGTGGAGGCTGAAGGGCCTGTTAAAAAGAAGGTTGGATCTCTCAGGGACTTCTAAGTGTGAGTGGAGACCAGCCCTTTAACTAAATCCTTCTCATGAAGTGCACTTGTGTTTCATTTCCACTGGTAGGATTTCAGGCATGGCAGAGTGCCTTGGCAGTTAGAAGAAGGGAGGTTTTTGTGTCATAGACTCAGTGGAGTCCTACGTTTACTAGGGGGCTACTTGAGTCTGTGAGCTGAATGACAGACACACTGTGATCCTTACTGGAAGTGAATAAAAACCATTTCTTTACTTAATTATAGAGGAGCCCAGCACCTCCACGGGAAGCAACGAGTATAACACAGTGTTTTTTGGTAAGTTTCTTCTCTCTTGTCTCTGGTATCTTATTAGGGATTTGACACCATTTTCAATGCTGGGAAAGGATTCCAATTTAAAACTTTCCAGATGCTGAGATCAGCTATAATTCTAATATGGAGGTGAAAAAGACAGCCTCTTTCCTCTCTGAGGTTTACTGTCCAAGTCTAATTGTTTGCATTTTCAGTCACCAAATAGGCATAGGATAAACAAGTTTTCCCCCTTGAGTTTTCCAAGATTTCCTGTCTCACTAGGATGTGGATTCCAGTCCAGTCTATGGAATCTTTTTAAGGGAGAGCCTGAGGAAAAGGCATCAGATTTTCTGATTCATAAAATATATAATTCAATTAAAAGCTGTAAAGCCTAGGAGCTCTGAATCAGGAAGTCCTGGTTTTAATACTTTGCCTCACTCCTGGCTTTTTTGGAAATTTCTGAAGTAACTTCTTCAGGCATTAAAATGGATACCTGGACAGTGTGCAGGTATCTTGCTTAAGGCTCAAAGAGAGCGCAGGAGAATAAGGAATTTACACCTTAAATTAAATCATGTGCCCAGTGGGAAATGAGAAAGATGAGCCTGATCTTTTGAGCACTAGGTTTTCTTGTTTCTCTTGGCAACTCATGTTTTCATTTTTGTTTTTGTTTTGCTTTTTAGTTTAGAAAATGAAGCAGATTCTCATTACCTGTGACCATCGCTCTACTAACCACAACATTCTAAGAAGATTCTGAGCCTCTGAACAAGCCTTCCATTCCATTATAGGAGCTTGAATAATTGTAAAAGACTAGACTAGTGAGACATCGGAGGTACCTACTTGAGGATAAACAGAGTGGCAGGAATTATACACAGACAGAAGAGGGGCATCTCTTAACCATGTCCCATTTAATATGGGCTCAATAAATGTTCATTTGTACTAAATTTTGAGAGGGGGTTTTTATTTTATGAGGCAACATTTTTTTTTTGCGGTACGCAGGCCTCTCACTGTTGTGGCCTCCCCCGTTGCGGAGCACAGGCTCTGGAAACGCAGGCTCAGCGGCCATGGCTCACGGGCCCAGCTGCTCCGCAGCATGTGGGATCTTCCCAGACCGGGGCACGAACCCGTGTCCCCTGCATCGGCAGGCGGACTCTCAACCACTGCGCCACTAGGGAAGCCCTATGAGGCAACATATTGCTTAGTTGCCTTGTTTTAGAACCAATAACCATTTTACTCCTCTCTGATAAATACTTTACAATCAGGCGCCAACTCCTTATGACCACAGGAAAGCGTGAAATGAGCCTATGGAAAGTATATTGGTTTTCCTATTCCTATTATAACAAGTTACCACAAACTTAGTAAATTAAAATAACATAAACCTATTATTTTAGTTTTGTAGCTCAGAAGTCTGAAAGGCATCTCACTGGATTGAAAACAATGTGTTGGCAGGGCTGAGTTCCTTTCTGAAGCCTTTCTGGAAAAATCCATTTTCTTGCCCACTTTTCTTGGCCATCTTGCATCTTTGAAGCCAGCAAAGGTTGGTTGATTCTGACAGTACATCACAGAGTCACCAACACCGACTCTACTGCCTCCCTCTTCCACATTTGAGGACACATTGAGCTCCACCTGGATAACCTAGGATAATCTCTATTTCAAGGTCAATTGATTAATGACCTTAATTCCTCCTCTACCACGTAACTGAACATATTCAGTGGTTCTGGGAATTAATAGGTGAGCATCTTTGGGAAGCCATGACACAGACAGCAGAGAACATCTTACTCTAGAACTGGTTTGGTTCAGTGGGGGATGGAAACAATCACCCATGTTTTTCTTTATGTTTACACTATATTTTTTGCAAAAGGGAGTGGGTGAGTTTATGTAAAATTAGTTGGTTTCACGTATTTATACTTCACAGTATGTATATGCCACAGTATAAATGACAAACTAAAATGGCACAAGTTTAGAGTGATGGGCAGACTTGGGAGTGAAGAGATGTAGATTCTACCAGTTGTATCTCTGCCTCTTGTGAACCCCAGCTTCCTCTTATAAAATGAGTCGGTTATATCAAATCAATTGAAATTTCCTTTTTGCTCCTTAATATATTTCAACAAATAATACACTGATTTTTGGGATCATTAATGTAAAGAATTATTAATGTATTAGTTTGCCTCAGGGAGAAGTATTCCATGTCATCAGTGATCTGTCACATAGGCTTGTACCAGAGCACATCATATTTGAGGATTCCTTAGCCTGGCTCCATCAAGCCGCTTGTCTCAGGGTTTTCATCTAAATAGGAAAGTAGTTCCAAGGCCTCCACTGATCTCTTTTAAGGATATAAAACTATTTCTGTTCTGTCAGTGACTATTTTTCCAATTTCTCTTCCCACTTTCTTTTTAATTTCAAGTGGATTTCAGCATGGAATTTTATCATGGACTATTGGAATGATTTGTGAAATTTAGCCAAGAAAAAGTGTTAGTGGACTCAAAATAGGCACTCATTAGTATCTATCCAGAATGGAAAAAAGTTTTCATTTCAAATTCCAGCTGCACAGTTTAAGTGGTTACCTCGAGAACAGAGATGAGTCCAGCCAAACCGGGGGATTGTTGAAGGGGGAATTTGTAGCATGTCTGCTTAGTATTTACTGATCCTGGTGTAAGTGGCAGTTGAAGTTATGGGTTTAGAGAGGTCACTTAGGAAGAGTATATAAAGATCTTCCTCAACCTACAATGGGGTTATGCACCCAGTACCCACTGTAAGTTGAAAATACCCTAAGTCGAAAATACATTTAATACATCTAACCTACCGAAGGTCATAGCTTAGCCTAGCCTACTTAAACGTGCTCAGAACACTTACATTAGCCACTGTTGGGCAAAATCATCTGATTGGGCAAAGCCAAGTTTTATCATCAAATGTTGAATAGCTCATGTAATTTACTGAATACTGTTCCAAAAGTGAAAAACAGAATGGTTGTACGCATACGGAATGGTTGTAAAGTCTATCAGTTTTTTACCCTCATGATCATGTGGCTGACTCAGGGCTGGAGAGAGTATCATGCTGCAAATGATGAGAAGCGCTACCCAGTTTCTGTCCTCGTAATAATAGCTACCACTGAAGGCCTGGCCTGAGCTGAGAGCTCTATATGAGTTATTTACACTGTGTACAAGTTCTATATGCTATTACTAATTGTACAAAATTAATTAATTTGTACCAAAAATTAATTATACAAAATATTAAATAATATTTAACATAAAATGTTAGGTGAGCTGACATGGGTTGTGAAAGAATTCACAGAAGTATTAACAAGGGCAGAAAAGAAAGTTTTTATTCACTTTCCAAGGGAGGAGAGGGGCCAAAGGCCTAGAGTGGTGTTGGCCCTGAAGGGTGGGGGGGGGTGAGTCTTTTATTGTGCTTTAAAGGGCAAGGTGCTGGAAAGAGGGAGGGGGTTCACATCTGTTTTGGTCCACGGTTTTATGTGGGCTGGCTGTGCTTCTACAGGATGTGGTTTTTCTGAGAATCTGTAACCTTTTGTTTTCAGTAATTTTCTAGTCCTTAGATGTCTGAAAGAGACTTGATGGTGGCCCTTGACAGGCGTTATCCTATTCTGAACAATGTTAGATGGGTTTACATAAAGTGTGTGCAATTTATATATAAATACAAATTTTGGGCAAATTTTTATACTGGTGTAGGCTATTCTGTTTCTTTAGTCCAGAACCTCCCCAATTTTCAAGCATTTTGGTTTACTTTAGCCCATTTACATTTAATGTAATTATTGATATGTTTGGAGCTTACGTGTACCATTTTACTTTTTGTTTTCTGTTTATCTTGTTATTTCTCTATTTTCTATGTTTTGCCTTCCTGTGGGCTACCTGAATATTTTTTTTAAATTCCATTTTGGTTTATCTATAGTATTTTGAGTGTATCTCTTTGTACAGCTTTTTTTTTTTAGTGGTTGTTGTAGGTATTACATTATATACACATACATTTTCATTGTCTAAGAGGGTCAATATTTTACCACTTTGAGTGAACTGTAGAAATCTTGCCTCCCTGTATGTCTTCCTTTACCCTCCTCTGCTTATAATTGTTTTAAATACTTCTCTACACACATTTACAGCCATATCAGAGAGTATTAGATAATTTTTGCTTTAACTGTCAAACATACTTAGGAAGTTCAAAAGAAAAAGGAAGATGTATTTTATCAGCCCATATTTCCCCCTTTCCATTGTTTTCTTCTTCTTGCTGTTCCAAAGTTCCTTCTTTCATCATTTTCTTTCTGTTTAGAGAACTTCCTTTAGCCATTCTTTTCAGGAAGATCTGCTGGTGACAAACTCTTGTTTTCCTTCATCCAATGTCTTTATTTCCCTTTCATTCCTGAGAGATAAAATTACAATATGAAAATCAGTATTGACAGTTCTTTTCTTTCAGTACTTAAAGAGTATTGTGCCACTTCTTTCTGGCTTTCATGTTTTCTGCTATTTGTACTGTTTTTCCCCTATAGATAAGTTGTTTCTCTTGCTGCTTTCAGGATTTTTTTCTTTGTCTTTATTTTCAAATATTTGACTATGATGTGTCTTGGTGTGGATTTCTTTGGGTTTATCTTGGTTGGAATTTGCTTGCCTTTTTGAATCTTTAGGCTTATGTCTTCTGCCAAATTTGGGAAGTTTTCAGCCATTATTTCTTTTAGGATTCAGATGACATGAATATTAGGCCTTTTGTTATACTCCTGCAGGACCCTGAGAATCTGATAGGTATTTTGTGTTGTTTGTTTGTTTGTTGTTGTCTCTTTTCTCTCTGTTGTTCAGATTGAGTCATTTCTATTGTTCTGTCTTCAAGTTCACAGATTGTTTTCCTCTGCTGTTGAGCCCTTCCATTAAGTTTTAAAATTTTGGTTATTATAATTTTCAGTTCTGAAATTTCCTTTTGGTTCTGCTATACATTTTGATTCTTTGCTAAGACTTTTTATTTCTTTGCTGAGGTTTTTTCAGTTGTTTTAAGCATGTCTATAATTGCTCATTGAAGCATTTTTATGACAACTGCTTGAAACTCTTTGTCAGATAATTCTAATATCTCTGGCCTTTTCATCTGGCATCTGCTGATTGTCTTTTTTATTCGGGTTGAGATTTTCCTGATTCTTAGTATGATGAATGATTTTCAATTGAAACAGGACATTTTAGGTATTAGAGGCTCTGGATCTTATTTAAATCTTCTGTCTTAGCTGGATTTCTGTGATACTACTCCAGCAGGTAAAAGGTGGAGGTACTGAATTACTGGCAGGTAGGGGCAGAAGTAAAGATCTCCCCCTCAACTTGTGTTGACTCCCAAGCAGGGGAGGGGTTCCCCATAATTGCCTGGTGAAGGATGGAATTCTGGCTCCCCACAAGGCCTCCACTGATATCACCCTGTCTGAGAGGAGTAGGGGTGTCTTGTTACTACTTTCCGTGTAGTCTCCACTGACACTACCCCTGTATGGAAAGGAGGGAGTGCTTTGTTACTGTTGGATGAGGGAGGACGTCCAGGCTCCCCATCTGGTTGCCACTAGCTCTGTGGGGTGGGGGGAAAATGAGGGTCTTAAACTGCTAAGTGGGGATGAAAGTTCCAGTTCCTCCTCGGTCTTCTCTAACTTTACTCTGGCACAGGTTTGGGCACCTTGTTACAGCCAGGCATGTGTGGAAGTCTAGACTCCCCACTTGGGGCCATAGCTTTTTCTGTGGTGTTTGACTGTAGAAGAGGGATTATTGTCTAAATGTTTTCTGCCATGCTAGGCTGTCTGTTTCCTAGTCCTCTGGCTGGACAGAATAGGTTTTTGTTGGGTTAAAAAAAATCACATAAAAAATATGTGATTGCATTATCACATATACGGTTTGAAAAGCTAACCCTGGCTGCAGACTACAGCTTGGAAAAGAATTTGGAGGAAAAGCGAAAATGGTTACAGGTCACCAAGTAGGGA